ATTGTTACTTATTTTTTAGATAACACCAGTTAAAGGTGTACTTGTTTCTGTTTGCATAACTTTGTTATGAAGATATAAGTGCAAAAACGTGTATTCATTTATCTCTAATCACATGCAATTGATTTACACACATGATGTTACGCACTCTTGTAACTAATAAAAATGTTGATGTTAGTGATTTTTTATATAATATTGTTTCGTACAGATTTAAAAATATGGTGATAATCTGTAGTACTCTTTGTAATAAAACTGCTTTTTGTTAGTATTCAATTTTATTTATCTATTGTTCGCACTAAATGTATAATGAAGATCACTTTGTCAAACAGAACTGTCATTCATCGTTTACATAAGTAATCTATTCAATATGAATTCATCTAAGGCGTTGCACAATGTCGTGATAATTGCCTAGATGTTTCATAAGGATTCAAATGATTTTTATAATATGATAATTATAGGAAATGTAATCTTCCTTGTAAATGTTAAAAAAGTGAAAAGTACGTATGACGCTCGACCGTTGTTTTTTTTGTAAAAGAATTTTTATAGATTGCTAAGGAATGAACAGGAAAGTTTCCTGATGCAGTACCGAATTGGCAGTAGGTGGAAGGGAACTTGACAAAGGTTTTTTGTCCCGCCTATAGATTATATAAATCTGTTCCACCACAGACAATCATCAGTGAATGATACATCTTTCGTATGGTTTAAGTGCCGCGTTCCTACTTATAATCAACGCTGTTGCAGCTGTATTCTTTATTTCTCTCTTTATCCTATCAATTACAGATTAATTCTTGCATTTTCATAAAAAAGAAATACCGATTTAAAAGAAAATGTATCGCACAGGAAACGATGGTAAGTTTGCTCTTAGTATCGCAATTTTATTATTTCTATCTCTTTGCTGAACTCTGTATTTTAGGATATAAAGTTACGAAATTGTTTTAATGATTTATAAACGATTTATTTTTTTAAATTGCGCCCTTGTATGTTTGACAAGATATACTGAAAAAAGTTATTAATTGCTCTAATAATGGTAAACGATAAACGTATGTTGAGATGATTATAATTTAATTACCCCGTGGCGATTTCTTCCGATCATTAAACTAGAACGCGTATCCAGCATCGTCCGTGAGAAATTCATATCTATTGCATTTCTTTCTAGCGCGAGGTTCGATGTCGTGTTACTGTTGATTTATGTATGCCAATCTTATTGAATATCAAAGACACGATATTAGGAAATGATATCGAGTAACTGCGTAAAGTAAAACGTGGAGTAAAAGGAATAATATCAAGTATCTATATCAGAGTAAAACGTACGATATAGCAGATACGATAGAACGTGTCACCAAACAAAGACGTAAAGAGCGAAAAATTCTGATCAAAGGAGAAAATGTTTTGGTCTATATATTTTATTAGATTTAACTGGGACCCTCGTAGTTTGGAATTATGGCTTATAACAAAAACAGGAATTACAGTTATGTTACATGAGTTTATCAATTTTCGTTCATCTTTTATCGATATTAAGACCATTGGGATGGGCAGTGTGATATGGTTATTAAAAAAGACGCTCTAAATGTCCATAATACTGTGCGAGGAAGTAAATTGCGAAACCAGTGAAAATTTTTTGTCGAACGTTTCTCGCTGTCATGGCTGTGCGTTTGAAACGATTCGGGGTAGATCCGTTCTTTGCACGCCTATCATCGCACGTTCCTTCTGGCATTGATTCACTCTCGTTGTTACGTGAGAATGACCTCGAATTCTTTGCCGATACACTTTGCTTTTTGCACGTGTCGCCTTTCCTTCAGTTTTTCTTCCTTTCAACACCGCGACTGTTAAATCGATGCAAAAAAAAACTTCGCGCTTGTTAAGTCGCCAGGCTGATGTTAATAAAATCTTCGCTAATTTTCAGCCGATCAATATTTATAAATCGTTTTCACGGCATAGATTTTGCATTCTACCTCATATTTGTAAGCAAACGCTTGTACACGCGTTAATGACATCTACTTCGTTCCGTACTGAGTCCAATTCTACATGTCAACGTGAAACACCGCTTCTATAATTTTTCAACGTACCTTCTGAACTACTTAAAATCGTTTCTGTAACAGGTGTTATACACGTTCTACAGTACAGGATTCGCGGAATCTCGTAATGTAGTAGCTTTATATCGATTGCAAGTAGTGAAGGTCAGTCGTACGCAGACAAGTTTCAGTAGTGCAACTATGAATACGAGAAGCGCCTGGCCTGTGTAGCTTTACGCCCTTTTCTACAAGCCGAATCGAATAACATATACTACGCGCTAATCAGAGAATAACGTGATCAATAATCATGGACGCAAATGCAGCAAAGTGATTTACATTTCTGTCCATCCATAATTGCACACTTTTCGACATGTAACATGTCTGAGTTACACGAATTCACTCCACGTACAAATTCTTTGCCCCATTTTTTAGAGCACATTTCGAATGTTGCATCTCGTAGGTCGGATGCTGGATGGAATAAAGGTTGAAGAAATGGAAGCGGATGCATTATTGCAAGCTATAATAGGCATACAGTAGCTTCTACCTGCAGACCCTTATATCACGTAGTGTAGCTGGGATGTTATAACTTCATTGACGGTGAAACTTAATTACATGCGCAAACAGGGAATGGCCAGTTCCGCGCCATCATCATCGCTTTTATCATTGTCGCTCCCAATTATCGCTAACAACAGTAATTATATCGTGGCATAGGATAGAGATCGTGTTATGCGAATACTTTCAAGGTCATCGCGATACGTATCAAAATCGGTAATAATGAATGCATGGTACACGTGCTTGAGATTCAACTTGGCGTCGTACACCACTCTTCTTAGAGTACCGCAAGCCTAGAAGTTTACTACTTGTTGATAACACGTACGTGGATAAAACACGAGGACTAATTCGTTCTGAACTATGACAAAAAAAGAAAGTACAGGTGTAAAGTAATTTCGACTTGAAGTATGTAAAGAACGTCAAGGCGATAAGAATATAAGGCAGTTTTACGTCCTCTCGACGAGTAATGACGTAGAAGGTAGAGAGAATTTGTAGAGTCGTCATTAGTCTGATTGGATGTACGCGCGTAACAGGAAAACACTGCCTACATGCTTTATGGAGTCCTGCGAAAGGAAGGAAAAGGTAACTACCGGAGGACTGGTCTCTCGGAAATTATGATGACGTAGGTTCTGAATCGCGTTCTGGAAACCCACGGATGATGGATTTTCTGTACCTTGCCGTTAGCATGATTGAACTGAATTAACCCAACCAGCGATCTTTACTATAATTAGCAGGCTCCAAGCAGAATACTTATTTCTCAGAAGCGTGACTGTCATAAAATTAAGGATTTCTTCGATACCAGCATAATTGTCAATACAGCCAATGGACTTTTTGCTCGTCATTGTCAATCATGTTTCACGTTTGAAGACGAAACCTCTTACAGGTTTTCGAATTCTGGGAACATAATTACGCGGGGTATCCACAAATATCTCTCGGTTTTTGCCAGTCGAGGAGCTAAGTACTTGCCACCAAAGAGACCAAGCATCCCGTGACGCGCGATCCCTGGCAAAGCCTGGGTATTTCCCTTCCGAACACAGAAGCGGGAGGATCGCATTCGCTCGTGGAGGTGGAGGGAGGCACTCGCGCTCCCATATCACTGATCACTCTCACCGTGTACTTGCATTCTCCAAATATAAACCGAACGTGACGTGATGTTGACTGTCTAATCGCGCATACTTACCTTACAATTACGGGGACGCAGTGAGCAATCGTGTGCAATCTACAGTCGCTGTTTTCTAAATAAAACATATTGACGAATTGACTGAAAGCATAAAAATTTGGAGCGAAAAAGGGAAATTCGTAGACATAGAGAAGAGACGGAGGAACGCAGAGGAACAAGGATAGAGAGAGAGAGAGAGAGAGAGAGAGAGAGAGAGAGAGACAGACAGACAGAGACAGAGACCGAAGAGCCATACATAGGGGACATTCGCACTCTCTACCGTTCTGTCGGTTCAGTCACACTGCGCCCGTCGACCGTGCGACTTCGCGGTCTTTTCTTTACTCTCGGACTCGACAATTCTCCTCTTTATTTTCATTCCTCTACTCGAATCTCGGATATAACATACTTCCATTCCGTTTTCGCCGCCTCTGTCAAAGGAGTCGATACCGAATCGCGCACGAGTTACAAGCGCAAAGTTACTTTAGCCAAAGAAATAGAAAAATAAAAAAACGAAATAATCGGAAAAAAGAAGAAGGCAACAATTTTTAACTACGCAACGACACGTCGAGTGCTCGAAGAACTATCGACTGGTGCACGTGAAGTGGCCGATTGAATCCAACTGCGAGTAAGTTTCCTCCGTTTGATGCTCGGACCTGATTTGCCGAGACGTACCGAATGCTACTGGCACATGCATTTGTTCGTTGATCACGTGGTAGAGGCGTCCAATACCGCGTCGTTTGTAAAATTTGCGGCTTTACAGATACAGAAACCGCGACGAGATCGAACAGTATTTTTCTCGCCCATCACGATCTGTGCATCATAATCAAGTACTAATAATAATAACTCATCTTGATTAGATACGTTAAAAGTGAATACACGCATCAGAAATCTAGAATCTTATAACATAGTCTTAGAATAGACCTATAGAATTAACGAACTTTACTTTTTAATTCCTAATAAAATAAAAATTCTTATTTCATCATAATAAGTTAGTTATCACGCAGTAAAATTGTCACATAAAGTCGGCATGTTTTAACTCGGTCTTTATTTACCGAGTTTCGTTCAGACGCTGTGAATCAATTTTTGCCAGACCACCTGTGCTCCTCGTCTTGGAGTTGAAAGCGACCGCGCGCGATTCTACAGTTTAAAGCAGACAGGACCGAGAGGAGCACCATGAATGGAATATCGAAAATCGAGGACTTGAGCATATACGACGGGGAGGACGATCGCACGAGGATTATAAAAAAACCCGTGCCGCTGAGGACCGTGTCGTGGTCGGAGAACGTCGAGGAGACCAATTTAGATATTCCAGGGACGCCCAGGACTCCGCGGACGTCCACCACGCCAGGTATTGCTCTCGAGAAAGTTTGTTAATCCCGATGATTTGAACTTTTAGCAAGGATCTTTAAAAATTCTCAGAATAGCAAAAAATATGTCCAGTCAGCGAGACTAAATGGACGCGTCAATGGAATATTTCGAAATACATACTAAATTATAATCGAGCTGGTGAATTTGATAAATATTTATTTACTCGTCGTCTGTTGGTGTGCCATACAATCGTCCATAAATGTAATTAGAATTAGTATATATGTATTTATGCACACTGATACGAAGCTCAAACTGCTTCATCACGAATGACAAATAATTCGTGCGTGGTGATCGATACCTTCACGATTACTCGAATTAAGTTCACGAAGTTAATGATTTACGTTTTATCCAGATTAAAAATTTACAATTACTTACAGGCACAGGTAGTTTCAATTGAAAGAAATAGGAATCAAATTAATGTTACAATTCATCTCCCTTCTCTGGTCGAAACTTTTAATTAAACGTGTAACAAGTGGCACGTAACTCCGTTCTAATCTCCATTAAACTTTTGATGCTACCATGCTTCGCTGACTTGATTCGATTTTGTATTAAGCTTCTATCATCGCCTCCGTTCTATTTAATTCACGAATCGAACGTTTATCCACAAATCCTTGAATTTTTATCAAGACAGTAGAGTCTGAGCGATGAAGTAGTACCGCATCTAATCGATTGGCACGAACGTAACAAGTGGCACGTAACTTGCTTCGAGTGACAGCCTGTTGCAGTTTCCGTAAAAAGAATGGTTACTGACAGAACTCTGACATAAACACAGATCAGAATAATTACTCGCTTTGTTCGTCACTCTCTTGTCCCTAATTAGCTTAAATTCGGCGCGCATGTTCGACCGACTTTTAATTTTACTTACGTGCAGCGTTACTATCATTGATCAAGACGCGGCGGTCCGTGAAATATGATTTGTTTCTTGCCATAGTTCCCAAGTAAATTGTACCCGCTGATCTTAAATTGATAAAAACCCTGGGAACTCTTCAGGTACAGTTATTATGAACGTACGTAACACGTAACTGTAACGTTATGAATATACGTTCCCTTTCGAGGCACGGCTATCGACTTTCTGGGAACCAAAAAGAAAAAAGGAACCTTTTACTTTTAAGTGAAAAAAATATTAACTCCAGGAGATTTGCAACCGTTCTTCAAACAATACTCGACTGAAACAATTCATTGTTGCATCATGCAACATAACTCTAATTTTCTAATTTGTGTAATTCGTTTCATTGCAATGTCTACTCAGCAGATTGATCTACGATTATAATAATCTTCTTGGTATCTTAATGACGAGACGGAACAGGGATACTCATTTTCTTTTCGAAATCTCATTGTAAATATTAAAATTGTCATCTGCATTTATATATACAGCAATATGCAATAGTAATAGCAATAGCAAAACGTAGAGAGGATACAGGTATGGAGAGATGGTTTCTGTTCTTTGTCAAAGGATTCTACTTCGGAGAATAATTTCTAAATGTTCATTGGTCTAGTTACTAAATATAAATGTATAAAAGAAAGAGGTACATGGAACTTAATTAATTACTTGCAGCACTGTAAGCTATCTTTACGTATTGACCCTTTTGCTAGACTCATCGTATCGCGGTGATGTCTTCGCCCGATAGAATCATACGATACAGTTCGTTAGGGAAAGACAGTTTAACTGAGTTTTCCATCGTGAATACGTCAGTTCCATGGTCGGATCCACCTCCGCGCTTCCGTTTAGAAAATCTGTACACAGAGAGACAAGCAACCCGAGCAGTGTTCCGCTTTAATACGCTCCAGATTGCTCGAAAGCTGAACAGTGTATAAATAATAAATTATTTGTATCGATAGAAATCTCGTCTTCTAAACGTTGTAACGCATCGTGTTAATCATTATGCAACAAGTTCGGCAACGCGATTGCAACTGACGAGGCGAGCTTTGGCGCGAGCCTTATCGTATACATATGATACATATCCTACTGACACTCCGTACGACACCCCGTCGCCTCGCGTCGATCCCATCGATCGAACCATCGCGATCGATATCCGCGCCTTTTAATTAATTCGTTATGCTAATCGTGAATGGAAACCCCGAACACTTATGAATAACATGATCGTATGCACGCCTTAAAAGAGAGTAAAAAACTGGTCCAAAGAATTCGTAATAAGTTTCAGATTAACGTTACGTTTTATCGTTACGTCGTCGGTTCGAATTGCTGTACCTCGGCGATGAATATCTAATTCAAACGAGACTTATTAATCAAATATGTTCGCAGATCATGTAAAACCGTCTCTCAAGACTTTCCGTTGTATCTACTTGTTTTTTTTTTTTATAAGGTCGGATTAGCGCGAGATAAGCGATTGCGCAAATGATTTACAATCACTGCTTGCGAACAGGTGTCACAAGAGGAAGGACTCAGGGTTTCCCCGCGAGGGAAAAAATAGAGTTGAATTTTTCATTACCACACTCAAAGAAATCCGTTGTTGTGTATCTTTAAAATGATTCACGACAGTGTCATATCGCGGGTCAGTGCTTAAGATAACATCGGTGTTTATGTTGCGTGTTCGTATTTTGCCTCGTTTACTATTGAAAAACCGAAACATTTTTCATCACTGTTAAAGATCGGAGCGACAATATCACCCTCAGTGACATGTCATATTATTAGAAGATTCTAATAAGATCGATCTTACTACGTTTTAGCAGAGTTCAGTGAATTTTTATGTGTACACGAAGAATAGAAAAGCGTCACGTATTCGGGAAACTTGTTTCAGGTCACGAAAAGTGCACATTTCATCACGATTTAGAGCTGGATCATAGGCCCCCCACGCGCGAGGCTCTGCTTCCAGAAATGTCTCGCAGTTATAAGCTACTTTTGAGTTCTCTCGGCGAAGACCCCGAGCGGCAGGGTCTTCTGAAAACACCGGAACGTGCTGCGAAAGCTATGCTGTTCTTCACGAAGGGCTACGATCAAAGCATCGACGGTAAGTCGGCGATAAACCAATTTAGAACGAAACTGAGAGCAGAGAACTAAATGAATGTCGCGCAATCGAATTAGAAAAATTAAAGTACAAATGTGAAAAAGCGGTGAGCTTTATCCCAGTACTTGCAAAAGGAAATATTTTAACTTTTCATACAATTGAAAACAATACGGTCACTCGAACTTAATTTTGTTAAGGGATAAAGTCAATCGAATAAATGAAACCATGAATACATCCACTTGGGCAAAGTACCATCCATTTCTTTCTTTTTCCACTTCAAGTGATTTGAGACCCGTCACGAGGCGAGGGAAGAAAGAGAGGAAAACTTAAGTACGATTCGAAAAAAGAGAGCGTAAAGCTCACGATATAAATGGGTCTCAGGGACGCACGGCAACCCGAGAAGAATACCTTTCACCTTTTCCTTCCATTTGTCGTGTCTCGAGTAGAATTGCCACTGTTCTCCGGTAATTATGACTGCACGAACAGTTGAATAAAAAGAAATCGACATGGTTCAGCCATCAACGATTCTCCATTGTGTCGCGTACATTCCGCGTAAAAACGATAAATCTACGATAAACGATATCTAATGCGACCTTTTAATAATTTACGATAGCGCCCGATCCAATGATGTAACTTGTGTAGAATTTTGTTCATCCTCCTGGAATTCTCCTGTCGTTTCAAGAGTCAACTGAACACGTCCATTAATTTACTCTCGATCGGTTCAATTTAACAGACGATACGAGTCGAGATACACGCGGAATGGTCGCTACAGGTGGCGGAGGAGAAACTTTAATTCACTTCGACTTGACTCCCGTCCCTCCCAGAGTAAAGCTACCCTTTGAGATAAGCCCGGTTAACGGCAGTTCCACTCGCCCCAGTGAATCTGAAACGAGTGCGGGGCACTTCCCTACGAAAGCTCGCGTAACCACCCTCCGACACTCTGACAATTTCTCTTTACCCTTCATTCTTGTCGATAAGCTCTTGGCCGAATTCCCACTGGAAATGCAGACAGACTCGACGATACTCTTCGCTCTTTTTAATAAGCTATCTTTCATCAGAAGTGATCTCGAATTATATTATAGACCGGGTTTCACGATCATCTATGTAGCCGTTACTAAATTCAATGAACGGTCTATGGTGCGTTACATTATGCGTTTACAATCATAAATCTGTCAGTAAATTATAAGTAAAATAATCGTATCCCACTAATCTGATAGAATTATCGATTCCCGAAGGGCTGATCGCGTTAAATCATCGAGTCGAAAAATTAAACTACCTACTCGCTTTCCGCGTGTGCTTCAAAGATAGTAAATAGAGAGGAAATTGCTCAAGTCTACTCCCTTCAGTATGGACTTACCTACAAAAGCGTCGAAATACATTTTCACCACGGAGGGCCGAACCTATCCTATTATTTAAATCGTGACCGAGTGGCTCGAAGGGATCATTCTTCTTCCGTGACGAACAGGAGCATTGCGTTACGTAGGGAAAAATACAGTTGGTCGACGCGAATACGTTTCATCATTGCCGGTCATTGTGAAGGTGTTTCTTGTTAAGGTTGCCGTGGAAACCGTGGAGAGCACCCTCCATTACCCACCCACCGACATCTACCAACCAGCGATTCATACGTACACGCTACCACTATCGCGAGCGTTGTAGTAAGTAGGTCAATATCGGGTAAATCACGGCTAGATTCGCGAGGACCTTAACCCACGTGCAAGATGTCCTTTTTCAGAACAATTTAAATTGCACTTGAGTCGGTTACTTTTGCCCTTCTAAGGATCTCTAGCTTTTCGCGGAGCTCTGGAAGCATCTGCTCTTCGTTGACAATTTTTTTGTTCATGTATCGATGTACCTTAAATGTTGGGTATTCGTTTTGCAGACGTTATAAATGACGCGGTATTCGACGAGGATCACGACGAGATGGTCGTGGTGAAAGACATCGAGATGTTCTCCATGTGTGAACACCATTTGGTACCGTTCTATGGGAAAGTCTCGATTGGATATCTACCTTGCAAGAAGATCCTTGGTCTTAGCAAACTGGCCAGGTAACGTAGAAATTGCTTGATTAAGAGGGAGGATTAATTAGGAACAGAATTAACGCTCATAACTCGAGACCGTCGGTACAATTGAATCTCAGCAGATTGATTAAGCTAGTTAATATTTTTACCTGTCGGCATGAAAATTAATTGGATACGGATTGTTCATCGGCGATATCAATTAGATCGCCTGATAGGACTGTCATCGCTTGCGACGCTTCGTCGGACGTGTCTGCTCGCTAATTATCTTTATCTCGAATCGTACAGATTTCACGTTGCCCGGAATTGAAACGCTCTGGCTGTCCTCTTAAGCTCGATCGGTTCTGATTGCAACATAACGGAATTAATAGAAGTACTGTTTATGCAACGCCCAATATCTATTGCGTAGTCATCGGTTTATTAAAAATTTTTGTTACTAGGAGACATTTGTTGATAATTAACGCTTTATTATCAAGCAATTTTATCTTCGCATGTGGTCTAAAATTATTTACATACTAAGCGTGTGTAAAAAATTCGTTAGAACCATCGTGGATAAAGTGCAGCCGCGGGGCAACATTGATACCGTGTTTCACAACTCCGAGATAACGAATTGCATTGGCAGTAGTTACGGCCTTGATTGAAGAAATACTGAAACAGAAATGAAAAGAATCGACGACGGGTGTTGATCGTTGGTACGCGGAGAACTTTCACGCGCCGCTAAACTCAAGTGTTCATTTACCCGCTAAATATTATGAACTTAACATTAGCCTTCAAACCAAGCGGCCAGGCTAGAATTTCAGACATTCATACCAGGATCGTATATAGAAACAGAAACTTTCAACCGAACTTCTCCGTATTGATATTAGTCTTTATCTGAATGCTTTACGAATACAATGCGACAAGATTCTCTTGTATTCATTAAATATCTGCCAGTATTATTGTCCTTTGCATCAGTGAAGTTATCCTGCATGATTCTTCACAGAATCGTAGAGATCTTCAGTCGACGTCTTCAGGTGCAAGAACGGCTCACCAAGCAAATCGCAGTGGCAGTGACGAAAGCGGTGCAACCAGCAGGAGTGGCGGTGGTCGTTGAAGGAGTGTATGTACCTTTATATCTCTCACTACCTTTTTGCAAAACAGAGTATATTCGATGAAGAAAATGTAATATATCGATTAAATAAGTGTAATCACTGCGATGTTTTTCGATTTCTTTCCGAAGGGTTCAGAACTTGAGCAATTGTTCTAACGAGTTCAATCACGTGTAAGAATCTAGCCTTGTACTAATTACGTGTTATCTCACGTTAAAGAGCAACAGTGGATTTTCTTTTATCAGTAAATGTCTCATTAAATTCTGATCCTTAAGCTCTGAGAAAGATCGACAGTTTGACAATCGGAAGGAATGTTATACGCAATGATTAGTGTTCCTCCCGGTTTGCAAAAATCGACTTGACTTGATAATGAGATTGATAAATCAAGACGGATCTTCAATGCTGATAGCTCTTTTTTGTTTCTTTTTCTAACTCAGACTCTATGGTGCATGTTGTGTAACTAATTAGCGTCATTATCAGCTGATTTTCTATAGGAAAAAAAGGCGTGACGTTGATTTATACACTTAATTAAAAGATCTCGAGGACGGCTGGCCTTGGAAGTATACAAAAATCAATGAACTGACAGCGAGATTAATAACAATTAGAACGGTTTTGAATGCTAATGCATCAATTATTTCCTCAACATCAAGGCTGAATCTGTAATATTCATCAATACGGATGTACGATTCCTGTTCGATTAAAAATACGCGGTGTTACACATCTCATTTATAATAATCTTTGACTCTCGCACATTAGATAACAATATCCTTGTCGGTCTGTAAATCACACTCTAAGCCTGTAATGTAAGCTCGTAGAGTATAAAATATTCATAGCAAATTAATCGCTCTGATTTTTAACGGTGAGATGTATGATTTATTATTCAAGGCAGAGTGACATTTACATGATATGAAAAAAATACTATGTTATGTTACAGGCATATGTGCATGGTGATGAGAGGAGTACAGAAGATAAACAGCAAGACAGTTACATCGACGATGCTTGGCGTCTTTCGGGATGATCCGAAGACTCGCGAGGAATTTCTTAATCTGGTTCACAACAAGTAAATCTTCCCACGGGATTTGTCGACGATTGTTTTTCCGTTTTTCTTATTACTGACCATCTGAGACGCTCCTAAGGCGCGATTCTTGTTGCACGTTTTTGTCATACTGCTACCTCATTATAAAAAGGCGTCCGAGAACGAGAAAGAAGTTGCTTCGACAGCTTCTTCGCAACATTCCTCTTACTTTTATAAGGGAAACGTAATTCGGAGGAACGTTAAAAAAGAGAAAAATAATATTTCAGTTTAGTCGGGGATAATTCTGCCGAACTTGGACGATGTTGTGTAAGACGTCTTTGAACAGAACGCTCTTAAACTGCTGATTGAATGACACAGAGACAATATGATAGTTACACTTGTAAACTTTACGTAAGTTCTATAGATTGCTGGAAACGTTACCAGCGCTGGAACAAAAAGGAACTTACGAATTGTTTCGAGAAAACGAAAGTGCGTCGTTCCCCGACGCAAGGGTCAGATCCTTCTGATAGTATATTAATAACATTGCCACTGCTGCTGGTCCAGCTGTAATTATACCTGTTCGATTGTTACTTACGCGTTTGCAAACATGTTTGTAATGTTATTAATATATTCAGAGCATAGTTGGAAACATTCAAAGCCCCGTCGCTTATGAAAATGAACTTAGGAAATTCCGATGATCGAAGGTTCCTCGATTGGCACTGACTCTGCGACCGTTAGGACACTGACAGTCAACGGCCTGATTATTTGTGACAATATCGCATTTTAGATTCTATACATATTAACAATTTCGACTGAGAAGTGTCCGCGTCGTAACAGTGCAACCTGCCACCTTTCAAATATTTTAAAGGCGACATATCAGTTTCGTTCTCAGTTTGTAAAACGTTAACAGCCATGCGTTTTACAACCAGAAACATTAAAAAAAGTTCCGCGTTGTTCCATTTATTTTCTGCCACTAATGTCGTTTTTTGATATTTTTTAGTCTTTTATCATACGAGCGCAGTCGCTTGTTATGGATTTAAATCTTAATAGATTAATTTCTTTTTGTGTTCGTAATTTTGTTAAGAAACGTTAAAACAATAGTGAAAGTTCCGACGCGCAATGTTACAGCCATACAATGTGCGTCGAAAAACGTGCGAGGTATTTATAACGAAGAGAGAAGGGTTATAGATTTTATTCAATAATGTGATTCATTCTTACATGCGTTGGAAATGATTCAGCACAGACCTGTGCGATTTTGTCACTGTGCAGTTTATATAATATAATTTATATATAGGGTTATATTAATTAACTAGCTTTTTCAGTTAAGCAATTAAAAAGAATTCATACCCAAGTCATTGGAATTTGATGCGTTCAGAAAATGTAGCAATATTTACTACTTAAAAAAGTAGCACGTCGTATATTATTTTTTTTAACATTTTACGTTAATGCATCTCTCGAACGATTACCATTGCTCCGGTTGATGCCAAATAACAGAAATCTAACAAATCAGATTCGAAGACCAGTGAATGCGAAACACGTATTGAATCTAACTGTAAGATATTACAACAGGCGTTGCTTTACAATATGAAAGTTATCGTTTCATTAAGCATTCATTGAACTTCTGCGAAACGCATCACGGTGCGACAACGATAGTGAGGAAATCACAGGCAATAAAGTACGGTCGATGTCGCGTCAGTCTTTGCGCGGTGCGTCCTCCGATTCTATTTTGCAACGTTGAACATAGATCTTGATGTTATTTATGAAAATGGATGTTTAATATTTATAATATTTTTCTGATGATGTTATATAAAGTTATATTTATACTTTCGATATAACGTGTTGTTATTTACTTTTACTTTTAAAAATGTTTAGGCGCCTAAGAAAGCATCGAAGATTAAAACTTCCATCAGATCGCGCTCTTTCTCATTCTTCTTATTGTTAAAAAACACAGAGTATCGTGTTCGGGTGAGCTTTACTATTTGCCGAATCTGGGACACGGCGGTATTTCGATCTTTTTCATAGCCGGTGCACCGCAAACTCGTGGCATCGAAGCGTCGTTCATGTTACAAACATTTTCCGCGTCTCCTTGATGAAGAAGGAAAACCATGCTGTTGTCCGATGGAGATTTGCGACCTTTTCCACCGGAACAACAGGCACTGGCGCAAGGTCTTTTTGCAGTGAGACAGCATTGCTCGTGTGCTCTCCCGGAACCAGCACGTTGAGTGACGCAACTTTTGGGCCTCGAACTTGCCGCACCATTTTTTCTGCACGTCATCGTTGATTCCCTAACAATGAAACTTCCATGAACTAAGATTGATCTTGACTACGTACAGATAATCGAACACTATTTTTTTTTTTAATTCCGAGGCGAAGGGTTTTTTATAAAGCGTCTAAGCACGGCAAGCTTAATTGTTGGACAACGCTAAGTCTAAATCTTACATAATAGAAGCAGGACAAGGAGCACAAGGAGTGCAACAAGGGATCGGCGGGCAACGCAGAACTCTTAATGCTTCAACGTTCAAACAAGAAACACCTCTAAGCAACGCTCGTTGAATCGCGTTTTCGTATTCCGCACGTTCTTTTATGATGCGCTCGTTCTCTTTGCGAAGCCTTGCTATTTCAGCCTCCAGCTGTTCGATCAAATCGATACATTAAAACAAATTCGCAAACGCAAATAAGGATACTGCGATATACCTCCATTTCCCGTCTCAGTCTGTCTTTATCTTTCATCATCGACTGAATAGCTGCATCGGTGCAAATTATTTCTATTTTCTCGCGGGATCTATCTCTATCTCTATCGTCTTCATCCATTTCGAATGCATCGAATTTTCTCGGAGCTACTTCTTTGGCAATTTCCACTTCTTCTTTCCGTGGGTCTTCTTGTACTTCCTTTACTTCCTTTACTTCCTTCGCTTCCTTCACTTGCTCTTCTTGTTTCGCGATACGTGATCTGAGTTCAGTTTGCGTCGCCGCGGCTATTTTCTACAATCATGTGACAAGTTTTTTAAATGACAGTAAAGCAGATATTTCATTGACACAACTTGCCTCGCGTTCCTCGCACTCTCCCAACAATTTCTTCAGATTCTCAATTTCGCAAGCTCGCGCTATCAGTTCCTTACGCAACGCTTCAAGCTCTTTCTCACAAATGTCCAGTTTGTTTTGTACGATACCGATCCATTGTTGTATCCGACCGAGAACGTCGGCGAACATCAACTTTTGTAAAAGTAAATTCAATTCACACAGTATTACGTTATACTAGGACTGAAGTCTCTTAAGGGATGAAATGAGTATAAAAATACATAATAATAAACGCGTTTTTCTATATGTACACGTATTCGTTTAAATAAAATAAATATTAGTAATCGTCTTACGAAATTGGGAGTTTTTAACGAGCATTTGAAAGTGAAAAGTTCTTTTTCGTATATCTTCATCGGTTTTTATAGAGCAAGTTTGTTCTATCGTGCCCTCGCGTTCCCAATTTCATCACGGTTTTACTTGCGTACTGGGCTCAACCTTTGATTCGTGCTCAAAGTTCTCGCCTAAGGTGGCCAAAGCTTTACCAGCATCTTGCAAGTTTTGATGCACATAGTCGATTATCTCATCCACTTTCTTATCTCTGCAGTTACGAAATAATGTTTTATGCGAACGTCAGCGATATACGCACATTGTTATAATTTTTATCTGTTGTTACAACTTCCTCCGGAAGTAATCAGCCGTTTCACTGAAGAGTAACGAAAATAGAAACATTGTTAATATACCCGGTTGATCCTGGAATTGACGCTAGACAAGTGCAGCATGGCCCAGCTGTACGAACAGGAATTCCATCTTCTGTTTTCGTAATAGCTTCAGTAGTCTCTGTTATGACTTTAGACTCTTCGGTCACCGCTATTTGCGGTTCATCTTCTTTCTCCTCAGGCGCGTCTGCTCCTCCTGCTAAGCGATCTTGGGCTTTTGAACTATATTTACGATTTGCTGCAGTTATACATTTCTTCAGTTTAGACGCTTTGTTAGGCGATTTACGATTTTCGTCGACGGCATGTCCTGAAATTTTTTGCGTCTCCAATTATAGTTGATTATTCATGACACTTCCAAAGCCTTGCGGCTTACCGCTTTTAGTTCTATTTAAGTGAGGCATTTCTTCTTAATGCATGTGCAGCATGATAATAAAATGTAATTAATGAACGATTCAACTAGTTAATTTACAATATGAATTTTATGAAATGTAATTGTAACGAGTTATCGAAATAGAGTGATGTGGATTGATGTTACTATAACTGTCATTTGTTCTTATAACATCAAGGGGCACGGTATAAAGATGGCGTTCAAACTCACTAATCGTGATTTTTCACGGTGATTACAAAATCACGATTACGAGTCGTGATTATACTCAATCACGGCCGTGATTCCGATTTTCTAGGGATCCTTAAAAAATTGCGACCTAGTCACGCCGCTTTTGACTCCTGTCACTTACGCCGAGTTGTTGCACGAAGTGATGAAGATAAATGTCGGCATCGGGACTCTGGGCAAGTCGCAGACCAAACTGGACCCTGACAAAGATCAGATTTACGGAGAAGTGAGGGACACGCCATGCAGCGAAGGTTTCCCGATCCTGGAAGGCCAAATCTCTTAAATGTATTTAAACAAGTTTCCCTAAAAAATGTCATTTTTGTAGTACATAAAATTAGTAATAATGTTGTGCATCAGCAGAACAGGGCGCGATACAGACGATGAAGCTGGCCGAGATGGAGCGGTACATGGCGACGAGATTGCATAAGACGAGGGATCTCACGAGGCAGCTCGCCTTTCACATATCCGCCTGCCAATTGATCGCAGACACTTTGGGCTCAAATTTTCAAACGTTGCAGAGGATAGAGACGTGGATACTTGAATGCAAGGAGAGGAAGAAGTGCTTGAATCACATAGAACGATACATAGGTACACGTAGTCATAAATCATAGAATTCATTTTTCAATAGTCATTTTTCAGATGAGAATCCTCTGAGGACAATACGCCTGCTGTGTCTGTTGTCAATTGCAAGCGACGGATCACTTAGAACGAGCTGCACTCTGTCCAAAAGCTTCACCTTTACGCTCACGGCTACAAGCATATACCCCTGTTCTATAAATTGCAAAGTATAGGTCTGCTGACATGCAGAGCAGAGAACATTTTACACAAATTATCGAACTGGAACAGCGAGTGGAATAACAACGCGCAGAAGTTGAAATTGTTGCCCGTATACTTCAAACAAACGGAGCAAAAGGGCCCTGGCTACGTTTTTAATAACGCTCATGTACCACTGATCGTCAGTATCCGAAACGATTAAATTACTCAGTATCTTGGTGGAATTCACAGTGTACGTTTCAACAGGTTCAGGTGTTAAACGCCGTGGCGAGTCAGGACAGAGATTCGAGGACTTTAGACGAATTAGCTAATTTATCGAACTGCGTTATAAGTGGTCAACGTGTTTCGTTGTTACCAAAGATGATAGTGATATGCGTTTTCGGCGGCATTTCTTATGCTGATATAACAGCCTGCTGGTTTATAGAGAAGGCCGCCGGGATTCGACTCGCTATAGCGTTGGATAGCGTAATAACTGGTAATAAAATACTCGAGAAAGTCCAAGACACATAAACGTCGCCCGTACGCTATAATTAATTTAATAACTACGCGTAACAATACGATATTGTTTATTTTTATATGATAAATGTAAATAGGAAGTACGAAGTAAGAATATACGTTAAAATAATATACGATTATCTTATATACTGTTATTTCCAACATTATTTACACCCACGTAAATAATATTCAGTTTAGTTCATGATTCAATGATTTCGATTGTCTTCCCTATTACGAAATCTGTCGCGGTCGATTCTGCCGATTGTAGTTTCGTCTGTTGCGGAAGTGTCTTTGGTTCCTTCTCGAGAAGTTTCCTGTTACACAATACGAAAATACAGTATTATACCACAATTTAATAAATTAAACTAGATAATTTCCATAAATTACCTTGCTTCATTTCGAAGATGAGTTCGTCGGAATCGACGAGGTTGTTTACCTCGTCGGTGAGCTGGAGCGCCAAAGATTGGAGTCGATTGGGCTCGCTGCGATGCATCATGACGGTCTCCATCGGGTCGTCCAGCGACGCCATCAGCTCCTCGTTTATGATCATTTTGCTTATGATGGAATGTACAATGGGTTGTTTCAGCTGGAACATCTCCGCCAGTTTCGACAAGGAGATCGAGTCGTACACGTGAGAATAAGTGAACAGATACGTTCTCAACGCTTCCTGTTTGATCAGTCTTGTGAGCATGTCGCGAACCTTGCCCGCCTGGTAGAAGAGATCCCAGACTTTGGCGTTCATCTTCTCATTGATAATGAAATTATTGCAAGCCAGCCAGTTCCCGTTACGCATCGCCTTTGCAGCGGCGGCCACGTAATCTCTCATCGACTCCGGTGGCCCTACCAACGACTGACGTTCGCTGGATCGCAGCTGCTGGTAGAAAATCTTAGATATCATTCTTTTCCTCGCGTCGAACTCGTGCGCGGCTATGTACGGGATCTCAATGAGCATCGCGGATACCAGGTAAACGCATTCCAAAAGCTCCAGGTTGATGTGCATGTGGAAAGGCCTCTGTTCCTCGATCGTCTCCTGCTTTTTGCTGCGCTCGTGTTGCTTCTGAGGCAGCAGGCCTTGCGCCAGCAGCTCCTTCACCTTACCAGTGACCATCAAATTGACCAAACAGTTATGGGCATTTTTGATATTCGCGTGGCGGAATGCGCACAAGCCCAGCTGGGCGATCGTCCTGTTGTATAAAATTTGCGTGGCCAGATCAAAATGCTGGATAGTTTCTTGCAAGTGGGACATCAGAATCAGATCGCGCGCTTGTAACCAGTTGTCGTGAAGGGCGTGGTGATAGATGTGCGAGAGGATCGCACGGGTTCTGAGCCTGTCCGCGCCGTCGTGAGCATATACGTATTTACAAAGCTTCTCCATGACTTGCACGGATGTTTCGACGTCCGAACCAAGCTCTCCCTCTTTTTGTTTGAGGACGTTCGGATCAAACTTGTAATACAGATGCTCGATTTTATGCAAGTTCACGCGACAAAGTTCGGAGACGGTTCCCTGCCTCTCCAGATATTCGTGAACTTTGTCTATTATAGCGGACACCTGTTTCTCATCCTTCAACCTCTCCACATACTCGTTACTGTGTGGGTCGCATTCTTTCAACTGTTTGATGAACTCTTCATCCAAACGTTCCACCAATGTCAAAATACAACCGTGTATCTTGTACGGAGGCATTTCGTACTCCTCTTCCTTCTCGGACACAACCTTAGCAATGATGATGTCCTTCGTGCTTAATAACATTTCGAGCATCTCCGTGATACACTCCAATATCTTCGACCAATACTCGGGCTTCATCGCGTCCGACTCTTTCGGATTGTAATCAAAGATCGATGATACTATAGAAAATTTGATCTTCACAGCTACTGCTGGGCCAAGATTGTGAGTGTCGGCTATGGACTGTAATTCATGCAGATGTTCGATCTGTTCCCTGCGAACGGTACGCTTCTTACCACAAGCAGCAATGATTTCATTCAGCTCCTTCATTGCAACAATCTGAGGTAGCATCGGAAGACGATCATGCCTATAAAAATACAGGGATGAAGCATAAGCTTGCGGGGGAGAAGACATCTCCGCCCGCCATCTCCGCAGTGAAGGGAGCATTGTTTGTGGAACGAAGAAATGAGAGTAACCAACTTACAAATTTGTTTACTATATACTTTCTTATGAACGATTGAACTTTGATAAACGATTGAAAGTGATTAGTTCATCAAGGTTATAACATCATAACGGTATATGCGACATAAACGGTCACGGTCACTCCTGAGGGATTTCGTGTCCCATCATTGCCATCACCATAGACGTGAGTGCATAAAAGACGTAAAAGTACTTAAAATTTAAAAAAAACTACATGGATAATGTTCAGCACGAAAAGCCTAAGCAAAAAATTCATCCCTACAGACAGATTCATCCGTGGAATTAATGTAATTTTCTAAAGAATGTAATTTACAGAAGGTGATGACATATGTTATTCATTAAATTATACGAATTTGAGTATATTTAAATGTCCTGAAATGTAAATACAAATCTTCTACTGATGTACTCATTATTTAAAATATTCTTACAGTAACAGAAACTGTTTAAATTAGGTACATGAGCGGTATCGCATCTTTATGCCATTGAAGTTTCAATTATTCGTTCCAACTACTTTGCTAGAACTTATTGGGTAATCACAGTTGGAGTGAATAAAATTGAAAGGGCTGAATACTGAATAAAATAAAATAACTTCATTACCTTCCTAGAATATTTTATTATTCCATAC